CCATCGCTTTTCACGTCGAGCGCTATTCGCACTCCCCGGGAACGATCGGAAAAAGTGCCGCGGTGGAAAGCCAATGACGTAGAGAATTAGTATGAAGAAGGCAACCTCAAGTTTGGCGGCAGTCGGACCAGTCCGTCTTTCAAGTTGGGGACCACGAGATATTGAATCGCAGTGTTTGGAAACATTGGATGTCAGTGCCAGCAACAGACATCAGTAGCGTCAAAGTTGTTCTGCCATTTTATCCTCCTTTAATAAATACAAAAACACAAAACAAAAAAATAGATGCAAAATGGCGTGTGTAATACCAACAAATCGTTTCCAATTTTTTAATCGGTGTTCGTGTTTCTATCTTCTCCACTGTTTTTTCTTCTGTCATGGTTCTGATGGCACAATGTCTGTTAACAGACTGTGACTATATATAAATATACTATATATATACTATAGTATATATGTACTATATATACATAATATATATATGCGCATGCTAACTAAAGTCCAAACGTAGTGCTACTTTTTCTTACATCAGTGGATTTTTGGAAACAACCGACAGTTTACTTGTCAGTCACTCCTCATCTTTTAATGCCTTTTCATGCTACCTACAAAATAAAATACTGTTTTTCTTAACGGCGTCATGGGCTGTGGCTAGTTCCTCAAGCACTAGAAACTTAACGGCTTATAAATCAAGTTCTAAGTTCACAGGCCCATTTCAATCTCAGCTAGCATAATGCATCCAGTACCCACTTTCATGCTTATTACCAAAGTAGACAAATGTGAAGGTATTTCCACAAATCTTATTACTTCAGTTTTGGGGTAGGTGATCAGGTGCATCTTACAGGACTGATACGTTTGAAACTGCTTTTATACATGTGCCTGGTAGTTTCTGTTTGTGAATATGTTCTCATCAAATGGTCACATACACGGTGATGTGGGATATTTGCTAGGGTTCTGGTTCACCCGTCTAACTCAAAAATCCGTCCAAAACGAGTGCTTATTGTAGAACAGTGGAAATGTGTATTTTTGTATACTCCGTCCCCCACCTAAGCTTACCTACTAGGTCTGGTGTTATATCGTCCAGGGATAAGGGTGTTGGGCACGATTCCATTGTTCAAACTCACCCAATCAGCCATGCTACTTCCTTTTATCTGACTATAGTCTTGTGGTCCCCAACGCTTTTTATTAGCTTTCCTTAATTAGATGTGGGTCCTTCGAAGTTATTTTCCAAGTCAACTAGCAAAAAGGCATCAACAGTATGCCGGTACGCAGTGCCGATGCTTAGCTGGAGCTCAAGCACCACCAGTCGTACGTGGACTAAGTGTACTGCAAGGCCGCACGGTCACTAAGCAGACTCGAACACGAGCCCTCAGCCTACAAGGCCGGTTTGTGATCCCTAAGGCAATGGGCCGGTTTTCCAAGTTATATAGCTCTCTACACGCTCCGTAAAGCACTTGCTATTCATTTCCTTCTATTGGGATTCGTCATGCTTGCACATCCATCTACTCTAACAAGTTGATACTCCAAAAACACCAGTAGCTTGCGCTACTAACCAGTAGCTTATCTAAGGATTCATGACGAACAGCTGCAGGCCATTAAAACTAACAAGCGAACTGTGCTAAAGCGCAACTCAGTCTACCAACTCACCCCTGTTTTGTGCCTGGGTTCCCCAGCGACGCCAAAAGAAAGAGCTCACACCACTCTGCGCACAAACGTTCTATTCCAACTCTGAGGCAAACTACAACAAGCTGTATATTCAAAAACCCATCCATCTACTCGATCGATCGCCTGCTCGACCGCATTGAAGCAGGCGATTCGGTTCGCCCCAGCTTTCAACCACCATCACATCCTTTTCGATTTCTATTTTTTCGTAGTCCTTATGTTGCAGCTTCCATATCCTCGTCCACTGCGAACTAGCTTCCGGTCTATCCGGTGACTGAATTGGAACTGCACTAGACTGCTGCCGAATGCGATAAAATGCGTATTTCTTAAAAAGCTGCATTAGATAAGGATCCTCATGCGTCGCTTTGACTTCGATAAGTTTGTATTTTTTTTTGCTTTCTTGAGGGCGTCCACCACAGCCTTGCCCTTTGGGTGCATCAGGAAGTCGTTCCACCTTTCGTGACAACTGTTTCACTGCACTGCATTCAGCCGTATTGTTTCCCGGGAGACGTACTCACGGTGGCTCTTGAATCACGTCTTGACGGTAGTGATAATCCTTGACTCTGGGGTATTGCAGGAATGCAATGCTGATCTTCTTGATTCTCCAAGTTATTTGGTAATCGAGCTTACAATTTTGATCGCTTTCAGGTTCGACTAAATGTTGTAACGCTGTGGGGCTTGCTCGCTCTCGTCTGGTTGATTCACGCCTGTTGCTAAATTGGTGCCCTTACGCGTGCTCTGATTGACGCTTTGGCAAGCCCGACCGGAAAGAAGACAGAAGAGTACTCAGCAGACCAGAGTTCTATTAAGGTAGAGAACGCTCATATTTATATGTCGGTGTCACCAGGCGGATTTGGCTCTAAGCCCACGCTTCACACCTACTTGTCCGCTCCAGCCGTCAAGTTCACTGTGTTGCTCGGGCACTCCAGTCTTCGTCCGCCTATCCTGCGCCCGGCAACGCACGTGCTGTCTGACTTGCGATATCATCAGCATCCGGTCAGGCCTCAGCGACACGCCTGCTGTCGGATCATTAGCACCTTTCGGCTGGGCCCTGGTTACACGCTCGCAGGGTCTTTCCGAAGCACGGTTGGTGACAAACGCGCGAACGTCGGCACTCCGCTTTCTCGCCCAGCTGTCATTCTCATCCACTCAGAAGCAGTGGGTAAAAAATACGATCGTCCTTCATAGTTTCTTTCAAAACGCTAGATTATTTCCAACGGATCCGATTCATTGTCCCAAAGATCCCAGGCCTCCATTATCCGACTTGCTGCAGAGCCGACGGAGTATCTTAACATGGATCTTTTCCAGTTAAGCCCCGCCACCCAAAAAAGATTATGAAAAGGGAGGATATGGAACTTGAACTTTTACTCTCTATCGAAGAGGGTGAAATTGAGACAAGTGATTAATTTTTTGCACGAAAAGGTCCATTTTTCGGTGTCTTTGCCTCCAAACGAACTCACACAGGTAGCTGTCCACTAAAGATCGGTGTGTGCCGCATTGGCTCTTATTCTGCATCTTGTAAATGTGCCAGAGGTTCGATGGTTGTGTGTGAGCTCCAGTCGTTGGATCCACAGTCTTCGGTATGATTAACCGTTTGATGAGTATAACTCATGTCAAGCATCGATTCAATGCCTTGGTATGATGCCCACATATCGGAAATGATAATTGAGCCGGGAGCGACGCAGGCCTGGATTGTGTCCAGCAGAGTGGCCGCAGTTCGATCTGGCACTGCATACAAGAACACTTCTATAGTCTACCGGCAAATCCCTCCGAAAATCCACTGCTGGGGAAGGACTAGCCCTGCATGGTGTTTACGACGTGATATTAGGGTTTCATCCATCTCGACATGGAGACCTGGGCCGCTGACAATCGTTGGAGTCTGCAAAAGCTGCCAGACGCAAATTTCACGCAGAAAGTTCTTCCAGTTGACAGCGGTCGCGTGGCCAATAGATAACTCCTCTGAGCAGAATTTGATTGTTGTCAGCTTTTTGGACCAGCAATAAATGAATAGGATTATTGTCCTGAAATCCATCCTAGACCGCTCCAGCCAAGTTCCCTTTCGAAGACCGATTTCTTGCCGACACTGTCGGGCATCACACCTCCACCTGTCAGAAACAGTTGAAAGTGTCATTTGGTGTCCTCGTCTGCATAAACGTTGATGATGAATCACTCCATGGCTTTGCAAAAGCATATTGCTATTTCCTTGTCATGAACGACCGCCGAAAGCGTCAGAAAGTTCAGGTCAGGTTTTACGTGCGAACGTAGAACCTTTTTGGACATAAATGACCTTAGAAGCGGATAAGGAGTGTTTTTATGGGGCACGTTCACATGCATTACATACACTGGAGCTGGCAAAGAGTGGCGGGGCTCAACTTTTCACGCGTGCCCTTTTTGCACTATTGATGGGGCTTGACTTTTCAGGTGTACCCTTGTTGCCTTAGTGGCGGGGCTTAACTTTTTGCGCGTGCTCATTTTGCATTAGTGGCGGGGCTTAACTGGAAAAGATCCCTGAACATTGCCAACTGGTATGGTCTTGCATATTCATTCAGCTGGATCAACGCTGCGAACTCCATCCAATCCGCTTTCCACGCTTTCCAGTTGTCCGACAATGTGCTTTCTCTCATCTCTAGCGGGGTTGGCAATGAGATCATTGATTGCTCCGCAACGGCGAGCAAGTTTTGGCACGTTTGTACCTCTGTCACCATGTTTTGTGCTTGGGTTACCCAGCCGCGTCGACAGAAAGAGCTCACACCGTTCTGCGCACGAACGTTCTATTCTAACGTTGAGGTCGACTACAACAATTTGTATATACAAAAACCCACTCGTCCACTCGATCCATCGCCTGATCAACTATACTGAGACAGGCGATTCGGTACACCCCAGCTTTTAGACACCATCACAACCCCTTACAAATTTTGAAAATGAAAGGGTTGCTGTCGAAGGGCACGGCTTCAACTCATAGCAACTACGTCCAAAGAAAACTTTTGAAACTGTCACGGCGAATAACTTGGTTTACCTGTGCATAAGGAAGTTGTGCTTAGCAGTAGTAAGATCTTTTATTTTAGTGTCATCCAGTTTTTCCTTCTCGTTTTTCCTGGTCATGTGCACGATGTTTCGCACTCTAACGTTAATCATTCATTCTGATGGTACTTCATGGTAAGTGACTCGGGCATGACAGAACCGCCAGAATCTTACCGAGACCGGGTCCATGGAAGCACTCAAAAAGACCATTCATGGAAGTACACATTATTAAAACCGTAACAAAAATTCCATTAGACGCAAAATTTTTGTCGCTTGTATATCAGTTATTCCAAAGTAACGCACTGCTACAATTGTTCATCTTTCAGGTCACTGAGTTTATATCGAAACTCAATTAAAACAACGAAGCTTGATGGCGACTGACGATATTGGGAGAGAAGTCGCAACGAATAACCAAGTAGCTCAGGATATGATATGGTAAGGTATATATTGAAGTCGAATGAGTACTATCGTTTCTAACGTAGGAAAGGCCATTGTGAGCTAGAGCAAAGAAGCACCAAAAACTACAACTCAAAGTGGGGCTTTCTACAAGGTCCAGTTGAGAATTTTGTAAAGGAAGATTTGGATAAATTGGTTGATCCCAATCGGCCGAACTGGAGAGAGATGGCGAAGGACAAATTGGTAGAGCCCAAGGTTGAGAGCAGTCAGCTAAAAGTACTTCCGTCGCCAAAACCTGTCCCACTTACAACTTCTGGTATGATTGGATGGCGGGCGGTGGATCACAGAAACTGGCCAGATAGATACGGTCGCTACGTGGCGCCAAGAACCAATATTTTCAAGCAACTAAACTGGCCTAGTGACGTTGCCCTATGATCTCGGTTTTAAGAGTTTCCCCGGCCGCGAACCATCATCTTTCGTGCTTCTTCGTGGCTCTGGTAGGAAAATTTGCCATATTTTAGGCATGTATGTAATTTCTGTTCTCAGTCTAAAAATGCATAAATAAATAATGGTTTTATCCTCGGCAGCGCGAGATACATTTGCACAGGTATAAGCATGGTGGCACAGTAAAACGATCATGTGCCGATCGCAAGCGGTTCAGATAAAGTCACCTGAAAAGGCACGCTTGGCACCAGTAGGTGGAAGGGAATGTTATATTTTCTGATGAAAAGAGACCCGTGTTGGTGTCGTATGATCAGATGTGTCGGAGGTAGAGCATCGTCGTGTCCTTAGCGAGCCAACAAATCGAAGATAGATATTTTTAAATCGATTGTGGTAAGAGGCAGCAGGCCTTTAGATGATTGACTTGATGTAGAAAAATTTTGTTTGAGAATTACACTTGGCGGTAGAGGTGTTCGAGCATGATTTTGTGTCACGAAAATGTATTGCGAGTTGCGTTGTCAGGATTCAGCTGTCTTTTAACCCAGAAAGTGCGTGCAAATCACTCAGTTTTGCACTCGTGGTTTTTTCACTGTGGCTCAGCTGCATTTTGCCGCCAAATTTTGTATCTATACTCATTCGTCGTGCTTTTCAACGCGCCACCTTTTGATGCTGTTTTCTTGCGTACACTCAAGTGCATACTACATTTACCCTGAATTCTAAATTCCGGACAGTGTTTCGCCGACATACAAGCACCAAAAGTTGCGTAACTCCAACCATGGAAGACATTGTTTGGTCTCACGGGCATCTCGTGCATCAGACCCATTTGTGTTGCATGCAAACTGCTCGCTGCCCTACTCTTACAGAGGCTCAGTTGCGTACGGGAACAGCATCTGCGTGAACAACAAGCTGGATTTCGCCTGGGTCGCGGTTGCGTCGATCATATCTTTACGATCCGCCAGATATTTGAACATCGCCATACGTTCAGACAACCAACTATAGTCATATTCTTGGATATACGAGCCGCTTTTGACTCCGTTGTCAGAGTGGCTCTTTGGGATTGCTTACTGAAGTGGGAAGTACCTGGGAAGTACATCAATTTTCTCCGTGCTAGTTAACATCAGATTTCCGGCCGCATGCGAGCACACGGAGAAATTTCGCCCCCTTTCAGTATTACTAACGGTGCTTGACAGAGTTGCCCAGCCTCTCCACGCTGGTTCAACTTCGCCATGGACGAGATTATGTATACTACCCTGGATACTTCCGAGTCCTGTTGTGTTGAACTGCTTTCTGGTGACCCTATTCGGAACTTAAAGTACGCCGATGACATCGCTATGATTTATGAGTCCTCACAAACCGAGCAGCATGTGCTGTTCAGACTGGAGATGTCCGCCGTCCAATTTGAGTTGAGCTTTGCCTCTTCCGCATGTAAGGTCCCATTACAGGACTGGCCAAGCGCATGCCCTTCTCTCACCTTTCGAGGTATCGTTTGGAAGCGGTCGACTAATTCATTTATCTTGAGAGTTGTCTTAGTATGGGCGGTTTGACAGAGAAGATCTCTCTGCGGGTCTCAAATGCTAGAGCCGCTTTCGCGAACCTTCGTCACCTGTGGCTTCATGGTGATCTCAACCTCGCTCTCAAGTGACGAACCTATAATGCTACGGTACAAGCAACTCTGGCTGGCTTGCCGAACTACCTCCTCGTGGTGCCAGCTGGGTGGTTCGGGTGTACCCCGTTCCAGCAAAGTGTTCGGCGACAATGTTCCACCTCGATGGGACATTGTATTCCAGCAGGTGTGCTGACTTCATGGGGAGCATTGGGCCCCTGTTTGGTAATCTACCAAACAAAGACGCATGAACTGATAATTCAGTCAACGCCTCCCAATGGGCGCGATTCCCTAAATTCGCCCCGCTGCCTTGCGGGTAGGTTATTTAACCAAAGGCTCGGGGTGGAGTCCCCTAAGTCAACTCCCTACTTCGGCTTGGGCAACCGGTTAGTATCACGCCCTCTCGCAAAACCATGGACTGTACCACAACGTGCTCACCAGCTAGCGTTTCTGTTTCTTACATTCACACGACTTTATCACATGCCAATTGTTGGCTAACAATCCTTTCTTACCGTTGCCCGATTCATGTGTTCAAAAATCCAGCTGCTCTTCCGGTTGCGCCGCGAACCATGGAATTCAACCTATGGCTCTCTTTCAATCCTGATCCTCCTTCCGTTTGGCGTGCTTCAACGTTCGGACACTCATGCAGATTGGACAACAAGCCGGTCTAGCGCGATCCCTAGAGTCCCTAGACACTGATGTCTGCTGCTTTTCAGAAACCCGATTGCAAGATCCCAGCACTGTGCTTACACTGACATCCCCCACTGACCACGAAGCCATATATCACCTGCGTCTTTCTGGAGATCCAGACGCAGCCTCAGCGGGTCTGGCTGGTGTAGGTATAGCACTGAGTGACAAGGCCGAGGCGGCACTACTGGACTGGTTCCCTATTAACAGCCTACTATGTGCAGTTCGGCTTCTGGGTTCACGTAGAATCAACAGGCACGGCGAAGAGAGACGCAAATTTTTTGTGATCTAGGTGTACGCTCCAACTGACTGCAGTGGCGACTCGGTCAAGGACGAATTCTACCGAGCTCTACATCAGCTCTTGACATGCTGAAAACTCGGATGTCGTTATCCTTGATGGGGATTTTAATGAACGGGTTGGCCGCCTGTTACCATACGAACGCCATCTTGGTGGTCATCACGCTCTCGATGAGAACCGCTCTGATAACGGAGAGAGACTTCTCACATTGTGCAAAGACAACCGCCTGTTTCCTTCGAGCACTAACTTCAGGCGTACGAAGAAGCGTTCCGTAACGTGGCGTCCCCTTTCGCCAACACAACCGTGGTCTCAAATTGATCACATTGCAATTAGCTTCAGATGGCGCGGCAGCGTACTGGACTGCAGGTCCTTTTGGTCCACCTTCGTTGATTTAGATCATGCTCTGGTCTGCGCGAAAATCTGTATGTGTTTTGGAGGATCCCGAAACACGAAACACCGCAAGATTGATGTAAACAGCTTAATTGATTCCTCTGTCCTGTCGAGCTATCAGTCTTCATTGGCATATGCACTCAGTTGCAATCCACCGCAAGAAGTGAAACGACACTGGACTTGTATACGGAAGGCAATGACCATTTCCGCACAGTCATGGTGCGGCCTAACTCGACGCCCGTTGAAGGCTTGGATCTCTGCTCGTTCTCTGGAGCTGTTCGAACGCCGCAAAGATATCCCCGCGGAATCAGATTGCAATGAGCGGCGTCGTTCTGTCAACCGGCTGCTCAAGCAAAGCCTACGCAAGGATCGCGAGACATGGTGGTCTGAGCGTGCTTTAGAGATGGAGACTGCTGCCATCTCTGGTAACACTCGCAGGCTTTTCCAACTCATTCGGTCCACTGACCTCAGGAAGCCTGGTGTCAGTGAGGTCATTTGTGAGGTGGATGAGTCTCCGATCACCAACCAACAGAGGCGTATGGACCGTTGGGTCGAGCACTTTCACTCGCAGTTCAACTGGCCTCCACCATCCATCAGTACATGCAGTACACCTTGCTGTCCACCTTGGCTAGTCCCATTGAATCCACCCAGCGAAGCAGAAGTCTGCCTCGAGATTCGACGCTTGAAGCGCTTCAAGGCTGCCGGCTTAGACGGACTCCCTCCGGAGCTATTCAAGTATGGCGGTGTGGCAGTCATTAACCAGCTAACCGCGCTGTTCGCAAAAATTTGGCATGAAGAGAAAGTGCCTCCCTCTTGGGGCGAATCAGTTATTGTCCCAATTTTCAAGAAAGTCGCTCGCACTTCATGTGCAAATCATCGCGGGATTAGTCTTATTTCGGTTGCCTCTAAGCTATTGGCATCCATTCTGCTTCGCAGGCTATCCCCAGTACGTGAATCATACTACCGCGAAGAACAAGCTGGTTTCCGTCCTGGCCGCGGATGTGTGGATCAAATCTTCACGCTCCGCCAGCTCCTCGCACATCGCCACATTTATCACAGGCCCACTATCATTGCATTTCTAGACATACGTGCAGCTTTTGACTCCGTTGATCTACTTGCTTTATGGCGTTGTTTACTAGAGAACGGGGTGCCAGAGAAATGTACCGCCATATTACGAGCACTTTACTTTCATACATCCGGCAGAGTGAGGGTCTATGGCAAGCTTTCCTCGCAAATCACTGTCAATAGCGGTGTGCGACAGGGTTGCCTATGTCCCCATTCCTCTTCAACTTCGCAATCGAAGACGTTCTGTCGAATGCCCTAGAAGATTTCCAACATTTTGGCTTAGAGCTTCTACCGGGTGAGCGCGCGACCGACTTAGATTATGCTGATGATATCGCCGTACTTGGTGACGATCCTCAGAGTTTGCAACTCATTCTGCATCGTTTGGCGGTTGAAGCATCTAAGTATGGCATGAGCTTCGCCCCATCGAAGTGTAAAATACTGCTCAAGCATTGGCTTTCACCTGCTCCCGTGCTCACTCTCGAAGGTGCACAACTTGAACAGGTAGATAGTTTCGTCCACCTTGGGAGCTGTGTTTCTGCTGACGGCACTATCAACAACAAAGTTTCTCTTCGTATCGCTAAAGCTCGATCAGCATTTTTCAATTTGTCGCACTTGTGGCGTCGTCGTGACGTCTCATTCTCACTAAAGGGCCGCATTTACAGAGCATCAGTTCGTTCAGTAATGTTGTTTGGGTGCGAGTCTTGGCCGATTCGTATGGAAGACATGCGTCGTCTTTCTGCGTTCGTTGCTTAAGGAGGATCGCTCGAGTTTGGTGGCAACATCGAGTAAATAGTATGACTTTCGACGTCGTATCTTGGGGAATGCGAGTATTCCCTTCAACAAACTGGTTTTGTTGCGCCAGTTGAGATGGCTCGGTCACGTCCTTCGCATGGCACCTGTGCGTCTACCGCGTCGCGCTCTATTCGCTCGTGAAGGATCTGGCTGGAAGCG